TTGAAATTAGAAATAAGCAAGGAATGATCATCTGATGGGATTGTACAATAGGCTTCCCAACAGTCAGAGGCAAATTGGGGAACAAATACGTAGAGAGATCCCAGATATTTGTAAGAATAATAAGGTTGTAATAGTTGGTGATTTTAATTTTCCAAACATTGACTGGGACTGCCATAGTGTTGAAGGTTTGGATGGTGAATAATAATGTTAAATGTGTTCAAGAACATTTTCTTTATCTACAAGTCAATGCTCCTACTAAAGAAAGAGAAAAAAAAACTTGAGCTTCTCTTGGGTAATAGGGCAGAAGTGACAGGTCGGAACAAGATAATAGACAATAATTCTATCCGTTTCAAAACAGTTATGGAAAAGGATAAGCCTTCCATGAAAGTTTTTAATTGGAGGAAGGCAAATTTAACAGTATGAGACAAGAACTTTCAGAAGTTCATTGGAGTAGACTGCAGGCAAAGGGACATCTGAGAAGTGGGAGGCTTTCAAAAACATGTGATTAATGAGAGTTCAGAATCATGGTGTTCCTGTTAGATTGAAAGGTAAGGCTGGTAGGATTAAAGAACAATGGATGAAAAAGATATTCAGGTTTTAGTCAAAAATAAAAAAAAACATATTAGATATAAGCAACTGGGTTTAAATGAATCTCTTAACCAGTATAAACAGTTTAGGGGCATTCTTAAACGGGAGACCAGGAAGGCAAAGAGGGGATATGAAATTGCCTTGATAGACAATGTTAACGTTAATCCAAAGAGATCCTACAAGTGCACGAAGAGCAAGAGAGCAACTAGAGAGTGAGCAGGGCCCTGTAAAGATCAAAGAGGTTACCTTTGTGTTGAATGACAGGAGATGAGAAAGATATTAAAGGAATATTTCGCATCAGTTTTTATTGTGGAGAAAGAAAAAGGAGGCGAGAAAACTCAGGGAAAGAAATACTGTTTTTTGAAAGCAGTTCACATGGACGTCTTCAAAAATATAAAGATGGATATCCTGTAGAGCCACAGGTGATGAGGGAGATTTTTATGAATATTTCCCCTCAGTCATTACGAGGAGAGAATCGTGGCTGCTAAGGAATCAAGGGAAATATGGGAATGTTTTGGAATGCGTACATATTACCAGAGGGGTGCTGTTTGGGCCTTATGGCACTTTAAGGTGTACAAATACCCGGGGCCCAATCAAGTCAATCCTCAGACATTGTGGGAGTCTAGGGAAGAAACTGCAGGGGGTCTTAGAGATTTTTGCTTCATTTTCAGCCACTGGTGAAGTTCAGTAAGATTGGAGGAGGGCAATGTTGTTCCATTGTTTAAAAAAGGTAGCAAAGACAAGCCAGGGAACTACAGGCCAGTGAACCTGACATCAGTGGCAGGCAAGTTATTGGACAGGATACTGAGGGACAGGATCAACCTACATTTGGATAGTCAAGATCGGATTAGGGATAGTCAGTATGGAATTGTGCATGGGAGGTCACGTCTGACAAATCTTTCAGAGTTTTTCAAAGAGGTAACCAAGAGGATAAATGAGGTAGGGCAGTGGATGCTGTCAATACGGATTCTATTAAGGCCTTTAACAAAGTCGTACATGGCAGGCTAGTCAAGAAGGTTAGGTCGTATGGGATCCAGGGAAAGCTCGCTAATTGGATACCAAAATTGGCTCGATGGTAGGAAGCAGACGGTGATGGTTGAAGGTTGTTTCATGGATTGGAGGCCTGTGATGAGCAATGTGCCACTGGGGTCGGGGTTGGGACTGGGACCTTTGTTACGTACATAAATGATCTGGATGTGAATGTACAATGCATGATTAGTAAGTTTGCAGATGATACAAGACTAGGAGGTATTGCTGACAGCAAGGAAAATTATCAAAAATTACAGAGGGATCTGGATCAGATGGGGAAGTGGTTTGAGGATTGGCAAATGCAATTCAACACAGATAGGTATGAGGTGTTGCACTCTGGAAAATCAAATCAAGATAGGACTGATATAGTTCATGGTAAGGTCCTGAGGAGTGTTATGGAAGAGAGGGACCTAGGAGTACGAGTACATAGGTCATTGAAAGCGGGGTCACAGGTTGACAAGGTGGTGAAGGCGGCGTTTAGCATGCTGGCCTTCATTGGTCAAGGCATTGAGTACAGAAGTTGGGACGTTGTCTTACAGTTGTATAAGTCTTGGGTGAGGCTGCACTTGGAGTATTGTGTACAGTTTTGGTCACCCGTTATACGAAAGACATAGTTAAACTGGAACATGTGCAAAGAAGATTTACGAGGCTGTTGCCAGGGCTAGTAGGCCTGAGTTAGAGGGATATGTTGGCCTGGATAGGACTTTATTCCTTAGAATGTAGGTGAATGAGGGGGTGACCTTATTGAGGTATACAAAATCATGAGGGACATAGTTAGGATGAATGCATATCGTCTTTTTCCGAGGGTTGAGGAGTTAAAACAAAGTCATAGGTTTAAGGTGAGAGGGGAAAGATTTAAGAAGGACCTGAGGGGCAACTTCTTCTTGCAGAGAGTGGTGGATGTATGGAATGGGCTGCCAGAACAAGTGGCTGAGGCAGTTACAATCACAACATTTAAAAAACATTTGGATAGGTACACGGAAAGCAAGGGTTTAAGAGGGATATAGACCAAATATCCCTCTTGTTTGGGTAATTCGAACTAGCTGAGTGGGAACCATGGTCAGCACGGATCAGTTTGAGCTGAAGGGCCTGTTTCCATGCTGTATTATTCTATGACTCTAAATCTCCAGGTCCTGCTCTAGTGCATTCCATCATATTGTGATAAGTTAAAGAGAAAACATGGGGCACCTTGCAGAAATATTGTATCATCTATAACTACAGGTGACGTGCCAGATGACTGGAGAATGGGTAATGTTGTGCCTTTGCTTAAGGGATGCAAGGAGAAGCCTGGGAACTACAGACCTGCGAGTCTGACTTCGGTGGTGGATAAGTAGTTGGAGGTAATTGTGAAAGATATGATGTACGTACTTAGAGAGGCAAGGAACAACTGGGATAGTCAGCATGTTTTTATGCGGGGGAAATTGTATTTCAAACTTGATTGAGTTTTTTGAGGAAATAACAAAGAAGATTGTTGAAGGCAGAGCAGTGGACATTGTTTACTTTGACTTTAGTAAAGCCTTTGACAAGGTTCTACATGGTGGACGCATCAGTAAAGTTAGATCATATGGGATTCAGGGTGATTCAGGCTTGTCAATTGGACACAAAATTGCCTTAATGACAGGAGACAGGGACTGGTGGTGGCAGATTGCTTTTCAGACTGGAGGCCTGTTAGCAGCGGTGTTCCACAGGGATTCGTGCTGGGTCCAATTCTGTTTGACCTTTTACGTAATGACTGAGATGAGAATATAGAAGGCATGGTTAGCAAGTTTGCACATGACACCAAAATAGGCAGCATAGTGGACAGTGAAGAAGCTGTCCAAGATTAGAAAGACATCTTGATCTATTGAGTCAATGGGCTGAGGAATGGCAGGTGGTGTTTAATTTAGACAAGGGCAAGTTATTGCGTTTTGGTAAAACAAACAAGAGCAGGACTTGTACAATAAAAATTAGGGCCCTGGATAGTGTTGTAGAACAGAGACACCTAGGGGTTCAGGTGCATCATTGCTTGATTTTTGCATTACATGTGGACAAGGTGGTTAAGAAGGTGTTCAGTCTGCTTACCTTCATTGCTCAGACGTTTGAGAGGAGTTGGGATGTTATGTTGAGCTTGTACAGAACATCAGTGAGGCGCCTTCTGGGGTAATGTGTCCACTTCTGATCGCCTGTTATATAAAGGATATCACTAAGCTGGAAAGGGTCCAGAAAAGATTTACCAGGAATGGAGGTTGAGTTATAAGGAGTAGCTGGATAGGTTGAGACTTTTTTCACTGGAGTCCAGAAATTGGAGGGGTGACTTACAGACATTTATATAATCATGAAGGGTATAGATAAGGTGAATGGCAGGTGCCTTTTCTCTCGAGTGAGGGATTTCAAGACAAGGGGGCATATTTTTAAGGTGAGAGGAGGAAGATTTAAAAAAGACTTGAGAGGCAATTTTTTTTTTTTTAAAAACACAGAAGTGGTTCGTGTTTGTAATGAACTTCCTGAGGAAGTAGGGAATGTGGGCAAAATTACAACATTTAAAAGACATCTGGATAAGTACATGACTCGGAATCATCTGGAGGGATATGGGCCAGGAGCAGGCAGGTGGGGCAAGTTTAACTTGGAATTATGCTTGGCATGGACTGGTCGGACCAAAGGTAGGGCTGGTATGATTAGAGAACAATGGATTAATAAAGATATTGAGGCGCTAGTCAAGAATGAAAAAGAACCATATCAGAGATAGACAACTCGGTTCAAATGAACTTCTTGAATAGTATAAAAAGTGTAGAGGATTTCTGAAGATGGAGATCAGAAGGGCAGAGAGGGCATGAGGTAACTTTATCTGCCAAGGCGAAGGATAATCCAAAGAGATTCAACACGTACATATCGAGCAAGAGAGCAACTAGAGAGAGTTGGGCACCTTAACGATCAAGGAGGATGTCTTGGTGTTGAAACTCGGCAGATGGGAGAGATATAAAATAAATATTTCACATCAGTTTTGACTGTGGAGAAAGCTAGCCCAAACTTTCACTCTCCATGTATGAAACTGGACAGTTCCTGTTGCTAAACTATTTGACCAAGGGCCAAAGAAATGGAAACTGGGTGATGCTTCTTGCGGCTGGATTGACGTTCTACTCTGTGTGGCTACATGCTACACTTACAGCATACATGTCACCAGGACTGGAGGGTTTGAGTTATGAGGAGAGACTGGATAGGCTGGGACTTTTTGCGCTCTAACATAGGAGGTTGAGGGGTGACTCTGCAGAGGTTTGAAAATTGAGGGGTAAACGATAAAGGTGAGCAGCAACGGTCTTTTCTCTTGGATAGAGTTTTCCAAAACTAGAGAGTACATTCTTGAGGAGGAGATTGATTTAAAGGGAAATAATAGGCAACATTTTCAGACAGAGAATAGTTTTTATATGGAATGAACCTCCAGAGGAAGTGGTAGATGCAGGTACACTTACACGATTTAAAAGACATTTGGATAGGTACATGAATAGGAAAGGTTTAGAGAGGTATGGATCAAAAACAAGTGGGACTAGTTCAATTTGAGAAACCTGGTCGACATGGACAAGTTGGACTGAAGGAGGCTAGAGAACTCAAGGAAATAAATATTGATGTTTTGAACAGTTTGCTTTGCAGGAGAGGAGGTGCTGAAGGTCTTAGAAAATATAAAAAGTGGATAATTCTCTGGTACCTGATCTAGTGTATCCCAGGGCATTGTGGAAAGTAAGGGAGGAAATTGCGGGGCTCCTCGCGGAAATATTTGTATCATCTATAAATATGGGTGAGGTGCCAGGTGACTGGAGAGTGGCTAAAGTTTTGCCTTTGTTTAAGAAGGGATGTAGGGAGAAGCCTAGGAATTATAGACCAACAAGTCTGACTTTGGCTGTGGGTAAGCCGTTGGAGGTGATACTGAAAGATAGCATTTGCGGAGGCAAGGAATGATTAGGGATAGTCAGCATGGTTTTGCGTGAGGGAAATCATGTCTCACAAATTTGATTGAGTTTTTTTGATGAAGGAACCAAGACCGATGAGCGCAGAGCAGGAGACATTGTTTACTTGGACTTTAGTAAAGCCCTTGACAAAATTCCGCATAGTAGACAAATTTGTAAAGTTAGCTCACATGGGATTCATAGTGAGCTTGCCAATTTAATTCACTTAATGACATGAGACAGGGTATGGTGGTGTAAGGATGTTATTCAACTGGAGCCCTGTGACCAGCAGTGTTCCACAGAGATCGGTGATGGGTCCACTTGTGTTTGTCATTTATATCAATGATATAGATGAAAATATAGAAGGCATGGTTAGTAAGTTTGTTGATGACACCAAATGTTATGGTTTCGTGGACAGGTTATCTACGATTACAAAGAGATGTTGATCAATTGGGTTAATGGGCTGATAAATGACAGATGGAGTGCAAGCTATTGCATTTTAGGGCAGCATGGTGGCTCAGTGGTTAGCACTGCTGCCTCACAGAGCCACAGAGTCTGGTGGATAACAAGGTGTAGGACTGGAATGACACAGCAGGCCAAGCAGCATCAGAGGGGCAGGAAAGCTGACGTTTCGGGTCTGGACCCTTCTTCAGAAAATGAGAGTCTGGTGGGATGCTTTTCAGAGAGTTAGTGTGAACTTGTTGGGTCGAATGGCCCGTTTCCACACTATTGGGATTCTAATTCTAAACAAGGGGAGGGCAGGACTTACTCAGCCTTGGATAGTGCTGTAGAACAGAGACATTTTGGGTTTCAGTTACCTAATTCTTTGAAGTTTGCATTACACGTCGACATAAACATAGGCTCAGACCTTTCAGTACAGGAGTTGGGGCATCTTGTTGAAGTTGTACAAGATGCTGGTGAGGCTTCATCGAGAGTACTGTGTCCAGTTCTGGTCATCCTGTTAAAGGAAGGATATTAGTAAGCTGGAGAGGGTTCAGAAGAGATTTACCAGGATGTTGCTGGGAAAAGAGAAATTGAGTTATGTGGAGAGGCTGAATAGGCTCAGACTTCTTTCTCAGGGCGCAAGAGGTTGAGGTTGAACTTGGAGGTTTATAAAAATCCTGAGGGGTGTCAAATGGCAGGTGTCCTTTCCCTTCGGTGGGGATTTCAAGACGAGGGGGCATTTTTTAAAATCAAATTGAATTACCTTTATTGTCATACATACAAGTATAGTGAAAAGTTTACAAGTTGCCACTTACAGCACCATCTTAAGTACAAAGATACTCAGGTATAACACTACCCAGGGCCCTATCGTTAACTGTACAAGTCCTGCCCTCAAGGGGTAGAGATAAGGTAAATACAGGTATCTTTTCCACAGGGTGGGAGATTTCAAAACTAGAGGGCTTTTTTTTTTTTAAGGCGAGACGAGAAAAACAAAGACATGAAGGGCAACTTTTTTTTGTTACACAGAGAGCGGTTCCTGTGTGGATGCGAATACAATTACAATTTTTAAAAGACATTTGGATAAGTACATGAATAAGAAATGTTTAGAGGGATATGGGCTAAGCACAGGCAGGTGGGACTAGTTTAGTTTCAGCACATGGTCGGCATGGACTAGTTTCCATGCTGTATGACTATGACTATATGATTGAAACTTTCAGAATACTGAGAGGCCTGGACAGATGGATGTGGAGAAAATGTTACAACTAGTCGGAGAGACTAGAACCCAAGGGGACCATCTCACAGTACAGGGACAACCCTTTAGAACTGAGATGAGGAGGGGTTTCTTCAGCCAGAGACTGGTGATTTTGTAAAGCTCACTGCCGTAGAGGGCTGTGGAGTGTCTTTATGACAGAGATAGATAGGTTCTTCATTTGTGAGGGCATCAAGGGTACGGGAGAAAGCAGAAGGCAAGAGAATGGAGCTGAGAAACATGTCAGCCATGATCAAGTGGTGGAACAGAAACTATGGGCCGAATGACCTAATTCTGCTCCTGTATCTTGGTTATTGTGGGTGACTTCAATCTGCACATAGATTGAGCAAGTCAACTCAGTAACGATACCATAGAGGAGAAATTCCAAAAAACCATCTCATACACATTCGAGGATCAATACATTGAGGGCCCAAATGGAGATAGGCCATCTCGACTGCTTATTGTCGAATGGCTGGGAGTGGGTTAGCTCAGTTAACTGGATGGCTGATTTGCGATTCAGAGTGATGCCCACAGCATGTACTCAATTCATATACTGCCTGAGGTCACCATGAAGATCCCACATTCTTAACCTTGCCCCCTGAGACATGTTGACCCTCACGTTAAGGCACATTCGCCTTCTCTCTCTCGGTCCCCAAGTGACATAGCAGTCCTAAGGTCTTCTGAGACTGTGGCAACTTTAATTTCAAAATATTAACTGTGTAATGTGAAGGGAATCATTAGCAATCTAGCCGTGTGAGGCTGCTTGTGGGAGAAAGAAGAACTCAGTGATAAAACGCCTCATTAAGATGGAACGTGACACAGTTGATTCTGAGACGAGGGGCCAAAATCTAAACAGAGGAAATTACGATGGTATGAGAAGTGATCAGGCTACGATAAATTAGGGAATATAACTTTAAAGGAATAACAAACATTTAAAGAGCACTTGGAGGAACTACAACTGTTGTTCTTTCCTGTCAGACACAAAATGAAACAGGAAAGGTGGCCCTGCCATGCCTAACCAGGGACATTAGGGGTAGTACTGGATCCAAGGAAGAGGGGTACAAATTGGCTAAAAAGAACAGCAGATCTGAAGATTGGGAGCAGTTCATATTTCACCAAAACAGGATGAAGGGATTGGTTAAGAGGGGAAAAATAAAGTTTCTGGGGTAAAGACACACAAATTATACAAGTTCCTAAAGATATAATGAAGAGCAAAACAGATTAATGAAAACAAATCCCTTACAATCAGAATCAGGGGTAGTTATAAATGTGGAATAAAGAGATGGCAGACCAATTAACTACATATTTTGGTTCTGTCGGCACAAAGGATTACACCAATAATATCTCTAAAATGCTGGGGAACACATCGGAAGCAGGAACTGAAGGAAATCAGTATGAGTAGGAAAATGGTGTTGGGAGAATTGATGGGATTAAAAGCCAACAAATCCCAGCACCTAGTAATCTACAGCCAGAGTACTTAAACTGGCTTGAGAGATAACAAAAACAAATTGCTGGAAAAGCTCAGCAGGTCTGGCAGCATCTGGGAAGGAGAAAAACAGTTACTGTTTCGAACCGAAACGTTAACTCTGTTTTTACCTTCACAGATGCTACCAGACCTGCTGAGCTTTTCCAGCAACTTTGTTTTTAATCCTGATTGACAACATCCGCAGTTCTTGCGGTTTTTATTTGGCCTGAGAAACCGATGTATTCTGAAAATAGGGGCTGGAGTCTAAATAGAGGAAATTGATGGTCATCTTTCAAGATGAACAATTCCTATGGATTGGAGGGTGGCTAAGGTAATGCTACTAGTTAAAAAAGAAGGTTGACAGAAAATATGGAATTATCGACCGGTTAGCCTAACACTGGAAAACTGTGACAGGATTGGACAGAGTTAGTCAGCATGGATTTACAAAAGGGAAATCATGCTGTACAAATCTGCTGGTATGTTTCAAGAATGCAACATTTAGAGTTGATAAGGAGGCAGTGGATGTCATTTACTTGAGATTTGAGAAGACGTTCAAAAGGCCCCACAGAAGAGATGAGCATGTAAAGTGAAAGCATTTAGGATTGTGCATTCACAGAGGTACAGAGCTGGCTGGCAGGAAAAAAAAAAGAGTCAGAATAAGCAGCCATTTTTTCATGTGTCAGCCAGTGACCAGTGCGGTACTGCAGGGATCAGTGCTGGACCCCAGATATTCACACTATCTAATGATGATTTAGATGAGGAACCTTAAATGTCGTATCTATTAGCTTGTAGAAGACATGAAGCTGGGTGTGATAGTGAACTGTGAGGAGGATGCGGATATACTTCAGGATGATTTGATGTTGAGAGGGTGGGCAATAATGCAAGGCTGACTAAGTATAACGTGGCTAAGTTCGAGGTTATCCAGCTGGATTATAAAACCAGGAAAACAAGTTACTGACAGTAAGCATGCAGGTGCATCAGGTGGTGAAAAAGGCAAATGGTATTTTGACCTTCAGAGCGAGAGGATTTCAGTACAGGAGTAGACATGTCTTGCTGAAATTGTACAGGATCTTAGTGAGGCCACACCTGGAGTATTGTGCGCACATTTGGAATCCTTATCTGATGGAGGATGTTTTGCCTATGAAGACTGTACACAACCGTTCACCAGACTGATTCCTGGAATGGCAGGACCGACATGAGGACAGAATGGATTGGTAAAGATGAACTTCACTGGAGTTTAGAAGAATGAGGAAAGATCTCAGAGAAACCAGTGAAATTCTAATGGAACTAACCAGGTAAATGCAGGAAGGATGCTGTCAATGACTAAGGAGTCCAGAACCAGGGAGTCACAGATTAAGTACATGGGCTAGGCAGTTATGACTGAGATGAGGAAACATTTCTTTTCGCAGAGACTGGCGACCCCCTGAAATTTTGCTGAAATCCAAGCAGTTAAGGCCAAAACATTGAATGTTTCCAAGAAGAAGATATATGTATTTGCGAGGGCTAAAGGGATCAGGCTACTGAGTAAAATAATCAGCCATGACTGAAAGTTACATTGGCCTACACTGTTCCTATTTTCTATGTTTCTGTTCTGTTGAAGGTGGGATATAAAAACAAGATGATTTTAACTGACACAGATATCAGCACTATCTGATCACCACTGAATGAAAATCCTGTAACTTCTTACCAGACAGCAATCTGGGAGCAACTTCAGCACTCCGAGTGCAACCATTCAAGAAGGTCAAGGTGCAGACTGATTTTGGAAGCTTCTGGAGTGGCTGCTCTGTCTCTCGTTTTCTATCCAGTTCTCAAATTGTTGAATGTTCTGAGAAAAGCAACATAATATGTAGGAAATATCTTTGGAAGTTTGCTGATACTGGGGAAAGGGGGGAGGGGGACCCGGCTGGGGTAGGGAAAGACATATGGCTGGGGAAGGGGAGCAGTGAGAGAAACAGTGGGCTGGGTTTTGTGGTGGAGTGATGGGCGAAGAATAACCCCAATTTCCAAACCACGCACCACCCCCCCACCCTGCTCGGTTCTCTCCCTCCACTCTCTGATCTTTCTCTCGGCTTCTTTCACATTGGCAGTAAGCACAGCGACAAAGATGTGCATGTGGACACTTTTCCCATCCAACTCAGTCACTAGCATATGCACAAGCATCTGCCAACACCATACTATGCATACTCCTCAGTTAACACAGTAATGATTTAACCCAATAACCTTTGTCTCCAGCCCCATTCACACCAATGACAATCATGGGATAAATTAAAATATCAAAACAAAACTGACCAAATTACTTAAGCAGCTTGTATGATGCATTGTTTCACAGGTACATTGGATTGTCAAACTTTCATGTTGTAACATTAACAACCTTTTCTCAGAAAGCCTCCGTTCTAAAGAACTTTGGCCCTTCCTTCTGTTTGATCATGTCCTCTCCCAGACTTGCTGGCGCCAGTTCCCAGATAGTGACCAAAAGAGTCTACAGAGTTTTTGATCAAGAACCAAATTGCAATTAACTTCCAGGCCTGGCCTCAGAAACAAACAGTTTTTATATTTTTAACACAACTGCCACTCACTGTCCAGAGGTCACCATTCAGCTCTCCGATTCAAACCCAAAATGATTTTTTAAAACTCAGCGAGGGTTCTAACACAGTACACAGTGAAAAGACCTTTATCCAGTGACACGAATTGAGTGAATGGGACACTATGCGTTGGAGTTTTGTTTCAATGAGATCATGTGCCATTGTTTTAATCAGATTCTAAAGCGCTTTGACATGATAAATGCTGAGAGGATTTTCCTTCTCATTGGAGAGAAACCATAATCTCAGAATGAAGTGTGCCAATTTAAAGCTGAAATGAGGAGAATTTTCCTCTGAGGGTTGAGTGTCTTTGGAACTTCTGTCCACAAAGAGCTGACAGGGCAAAGTCTTGGTGTATTTTTCAGGCTGAGATAGATAGATTTTTGATCAGTAGGGAAATTAAAGGTTACAGGGAAAACGCTGGAAAACTGGACATTAGGAATGTCAGATCAGCCGCAATCCTATTGAATGGCAGAACAGGCTCAAGGGACCAAATGGCTTACTCCTGTTCCTGTTACATATGGTCTTCCAGTAGACTGCCGAAAAAGTCGTAACCAATTACGCAGACTGAGCGAGTGTTCCAGTGAATTGACGGTGGAAAGAGCTTTAACATAGACTGAAATGAAATCTCACCACAGACAGTTGACAGAAACTATATGGACGTTCTGTCTATTGGATTAAAATTTACCTAATCACTCAGCCAGGAGAGACAACAGATACCCACACTGTGGAGATACTGTGGAAATATCAGGACAATGGCAGTGATACAGTTCCCCACCTGAGCTGACCACCCAATGGTGCAGTTACACCGCGGACAGAGCATTCCCGTGCTCCATGTGCAGGAAGGATTCGGTCAGACACCCAGCTACTGAGACACCATGTAAGTCTGCAAGGGGTTACAGAGTTGGATTCCGGTGGGATTACTGCTTTTTATCACATCCAGCTTCATCTGATCTTCACACTGCACTTTTACCGCATTAAAACCTCCCACCGGGACTAACAAAACAAAACTGCAGAGCCCCAGACGGAGGCATTCGGGCGGAGTTGGGACGGAAGGGAGAAGAGTCGGGGAGAGAAAGAGAGAGAGCCGGAAGCGGGGGTGGAGCAAAACAGGACCACGCCCTGTCCCTGTTATGTCACCACACCAACCGCGCTTGCGCATTTCCCACTAATCCAGATGCGGAGGCGCCGGCGTTGGACCGCGGCCTATTTCAGGGAAGAAGCCTGAGGCTCTCTGCAGCCAAAATCGCAGCACCAGAAAAGCCTTGTTTGGGGCTTGAGACCTAAACTGGGCAATAATGCAACCCTTTTGCTGGCATAAAGCAGCAAAGCTGCCCCCACCTCTTTAACCTTCACTCACCATTTGTGGATGTCATGAAAGACTGGAAAAGGTCAGCAGAATTTCTGAGGAAGGGTCACCGAACCCGAAACGTTCACTCTGTTTTCTCATCGACAGATGCTGCCAGACCTGCTGAGCTATTCCAGCAGCTTTGTTTTTGTTCCTGATTTACAGCATCCGCAGTTTTTTTGGTTTTCATTCCTTCCGTCGCTGCCGGCACGCAATTATTTCTGAAGAAGAATCTAGTCCCGAAACGTCAGTTTTGCTGCTTGGCCTGCTGTGTTCACCCAGCTCTACACCTTATTATCTCAGATTCTGCAGTTCCGACTATCTCTGATACAATCCACAATTAGCTGTGCGCATGCTCTATAGCTACACGCCGGTTTGATGACGTCACACGACCAATAGCAAGGAAGGGGCGGGACTGGTGGATGGCAGCGGAACTGCTTGTCCTCCAACCGATTGAGAACGAGGGGCGGGCTGCCAGAACATCCTTGAACGGAAGGAGGTGTTATCCTTCCAACCAATCGGGGAGACACAGGGACGGGACTGGAATTTGAACTTCCTTCGGAACGTGTGACGGGCTTGGTTAGTGCTCCAACCAATCAGTGCACGGGAAGGCGGGTCTAACAACGTGACCAGAGCATGCGCCGTCGGCGTGATGGAGCCAGAATGTTGTTCTCTGGATGGAAGGGAGGTCGGGTCAACAAGGTGCAGGGGAAGGGAGGTCTGTTGTCTGTCCATTCTTTTTACAGCGCATTCAATGGGAAGGATTCCCAAATCATCAATTCCAACCAAATATCACAGCAAGGTCTAACGGAGTCACTCTTTTCAGCAGCATCTCAGTGTCGTCAGTCTTTCACCGTGCAAGGTGAAATGTTTGTCTGTAGTGTCTGTGGGAAAAGATTTCTGAGATCAGTTTCACTGGAAAAGTTCCGAGAAATTCAAAATCGTGTGCAGTGCACCCCCGGAGGATGTGTCTGGGCACCACAATTTAGGAAGGAGAGTCTGGACCTTCCTCGGGGTCTGCGCATGTTTACTCCAATGATTCAGAGACTGAAGTGTTCTTATTATGAGCAACGGTTGCAGGAATCAGTTTTAAATTCATTATAACACAGAAAGGAATAATTTAGCCTATTTCATCAATCTGCCAGTCCTGAGCCCATTGACCCGATTGATCAAAATCTCTTTGTAATCAAGAAAGCTAATAAGCTGTATCCTTTATTATTACAAGAATTGATCATAAATGTAAGGATATTTGCTTCATTTGTAAAGAGAATAGGTGAGACCACGTCTTGAATACAGTGGTGGAGAGCTGGAGGAACACAGCAGGCCAGGTAGCATCAGAGGAGCAGGAAAGTTGATGTTTTGGGTCTGAAGAAAGGTCCCAACCCGAAACATCAACTTTTCTGCTCCTCTGCTGCCTGGCATGCTGTGTTCCTCCAGCTCCACGTTTTGTTATCTCTGACTCCAGCGTCTGCAGTACTTGCTATCTCTCTTGAATAAAGTGTGCAGGTTTTGGCCATCTTCTGCAAATTTATTGGAGGTGTTTCAGAGGAAGATTTGAGATTAATACCTGGAATCAATGAGTTGTCTAAGGAGGATAGGCTGGGCAGGCAAACAGGAGAAGGAGGTGGGTTAGAACTGCTGATTAAAACAGGCAAGTAATGTGATTGTAAGCAAGGATATAGGCTGTGGTGAAGTAGAACATATATGGAACAAAAAAACAGAAATTGCTGGATAAGCTCAGCCGGTCTGACAGCATCTGAGGAGAGAAATCAGAGTTAAAGTTTCAGATCGAGAGACCCTTCCTCAGAATGGAAACGTAACTCCTATTTCTCTCCACAGATGCTGCCAGCAGGCCTGCTTAGGTTATCCAGCAATTTCTGTTTTTGTTTCTGATTTACAGCATCTGCTGTTTTTTCTTTGGTTTTGTAGAGTGTTAGTTGAGCTTAGAAACATTAATAGTTGGTAAATGAGAGTAAGGTTGTACATAGACTCAAAAATACAGGAGCGATATTGGGAAAGGTATTAGAATGGAATGTAGAGATGCAAGTAATAAAGTTAGGGCCGTAAATATGGGTGACTTTAATCTATATATAAATTGAGCGAATCAAATTAATAGCAATACGATACAGGAGGCATTCTTAGCACATATATGGAACAGTTTTATGAATCAATACAACGAGGAAGCAACTGGGTATTGAGTAATTAGAAAGGAATTTCATTATGGTGGCTTAGTGGTTAGCACTGTTGCTTCACAGCGCCAGGAACCCAGGTTCAATTCCACCCTTAGACGACTGTCTGTGCGGAGTTTGCACATTCTCCACGTGTCTGCATGGGTTTCCTCCGGGCACTCCAGTTTCCTCCCACAATCCAAAGGCTAAGTAGATTGGCCATGCTAAATTGCCCATATTGTTCAGGGAGGTGTAGATGAGGGAGATGGGTCTGGGTTGGATATTCTGAGAGTCAGTTTGGACTTGTTGGGCGAAAGGGCCTGCTTCCACACTGTATGGAATTTTATGGTCTATGAATAATTGATAATAAAGTTGATCACCTCATTAAGGTGGAGAGTGATGTCATTCTTTCCGAGACTAGAGTCCTGTCATTAAATAAAGAAAATTAGAGTGATGTGAGGTGTGAACGAGCTGTGATAAATCATGGATCAGTATTTAAATGGGTTTTGGGAGATTGTCCATGCACTCTTTAAATGTTTGCCATGATCTATGTACAAAAGTTATTCATCCCAGTCTGGCATAAGAACAATACAGGAAACATGGTGAAACCATGTCAAAAAAGGGAAATGATGGCTATTATTAAATTTGTCAAATAAATCACCGCATTGGTAACAGTTTAGAATTTAACAAAGGGATTGATTAAATGGCAGAAAATAGAGTATGAGAGTATGCTTGCAGAGACCATACAAATCAATGGTTTTCTTTTGTTGCAGACATTGCTGTCTAAGCCAGAATATACTGCCCATCTATGATTGCTAAGAGGGCTGTCAAGAGTCAACTGCATTGCTGTTGGGTTGGAGTCACATGTAGGCCAGACCAGGTAAGGATGACAGTTTCTTTCCCGCAAAGGACATGAGTGAACCAGCTGGGATTT